TTAGGGTTGAAAATTCAGCAGGTTTTTCTGGTTAAGCTTTGAAAACCCTGCACCTTTAAATGACTACAATAATTACAACATTGTATCTTGAGACAAAAGAGTGTTTATTTTTCTAAAAGACAATTAGAGAGTAGACCCTCAGGTTTTATAGTCTAACTACAAAGGCATGTACCCCGCAGTAAAATAGCAAAATAATTAATGGTAACATCTCTGACCTACACCAAGTTCACTTTCCACAAACTCAAGAAAATGAAACGCCTAGAGCATAACTTTAATCTAATCTTGATTTTAACCTTGTATTATGCATATTGATATCCGCTCTTAAAAGAGCTCCTTTTAGAATTCAAAAGGCATGCATTTCTGCTTTTTATTAAGATTTTTCTCATTATAGAAATTTTGTTTCTTCTACTGTTTTTTAGAAACCAAAGGTCTAAATCACTTTTCCTTGTAAGTTTTAATTAGGACCCTATTATAGGAGATACATAGCATGATACATGTTTATAGAGATCATTGTGACAATTAATATAATTATAAACAGAATTATTAAAGTGAAACAAGCTTTAAGAATGTGTGTGTTAATTGCATTAATAAGTTTAAAGAGATACTAAATAGTAGAGTATTGGTATACTTTGTGGGGAAAAAATCTACTAAAATTTGTAAAATTTTAAAAATAGATTTAAATTTAAATACACAGTGGTAGATTACTCTTTTTAAAAATCCTATAGTAGATCCTCTTTTAAAATACAGAATAACACCTAATTTTCTGTGATTTAGATTATACATATCAGGTTTAGGTATGCCTCTAATAATCACTGGATATCCACTGCTAAGCAAGAAATCCCTCCAAGAAATTCGAAGTATTTAGGAATTTCAATTTTTTTAATTACTGTGAACTAGCTGATATGTTCATTTTGCTGGAATAACAGCTGGAACTGTGTCGGTATGATTTTTTTTTTTTCATTTTTATCAAGGTATAAGTTACATATAACATATAATAGTTTCAGGTACATACTGTAATAATTTGATATTTGTATATATTGTGAAATGATCACCACATTAAGTCTAGTTAACATAGTTATGAAATATGTTTTTCTTTGATAAGGACTTTTAAGATCTATTCTCTTAGCAGCTTCAAATATGCTTATAATATTAACTATAATCACCATGCTATATACATTACATCGCACAACTTATTTATTTTATAATTTGAAGTTTGTACCTTTTCAGTATGATTTTTTAAAATACTCCCCCCCACCCCCACCCCGACACACACACAAAATTCTCCTTTTACTCTTGGATACTGTCTACAGTTTTGGTGAGATTTATTCATTGTCTGCCATGTCCTATGCTAGGTTCAGCAAATGAGGGTACATACAGTACCAAATAAATGGTCTTTCTACTCAAAGGAATTTAAATTAATTGTTGGGGGGGGAACCTAAATATAGATAAAGAATATGAGAAAATATCAAGTAAATTGCCACTGTCAGATATTTGAACAGAAAGATATGCCCGTAGTCTCGTAGTTTCCATGACTGAAAAGAAAAACTCTTCTGGTACTGAAAATCTTGTCTAGGCCTATGCCATATCCCACACAGTTCCCTCAGTGGATATTTCTTTCTGGGGAAATCCACATTTGAAAACAAAATCAATAGTCTTGGATTTGTTCTACTAGTCATAAAAGGTACAAATGATGAGTCTATAATAGAGTTTTTCAATTGGCTTGGAATTTGAGTGTCATTTCTTTCTATTATCGACCCTGAGAGACTAACAGTGTTTTGTTGATTCCAAATGGATGGTTATAAAGACTGAAAAAATACAGATGCACACATAGCCAAATCTATTTGCTAACACTATGAATTTCACCTGTAACCCGGACAGGCACTTTATTGTGGTGCCATAGCACTGGCTACTGTTGAGAGCCACACCGTCTATGTAAATATCAAAGTCTTGGTCATTGTTAACCCTTCTTTCTCATTCCTCACATCATGGAAGTTGTCCAGTCCTGTTCAATCTTCTTCCTCAATTTATACATAAAACCTTCAGATGGATTTTTCTTAAAATGAAATTCCAATTATACTTAGATCCATTACATTTAATGATTTATTTTTCCTTTTGATCCATTACATTTAATGATTTATTCATTTTGCTCAGCAAGGATTTATTATATGCCTACTCTGTGTCAGGCATGGAGCTAGGTGCTAGTAATTCAGGGGTAACAAAGCAGGCTACTACTGAGTTTTATCTACCAAAGCACACACTATCAGAAAAACCCAAATACATGTAAAAGTGCAATAATTCTGACCAGTTCTGGGATGGAAAGGTTATGGGAGTACCTATACTGGGGGAATTTCCCTAATCAGAAAAGTTCAGGAAAATTTGTCTGAGGTAGTAATACATGAGCTGAAACATAAAAGCCAAGAGGAAATGGAAGAGTCTTCTAGCCATGGGGAAGACTCTTTGTACAAATGCTCTGGTAGGCAAGGAGAACTGAGGAGGCCAGTCTGAGAGAGCAGAAAGTGAAAGGTGTAAGGTATGAACTAAATATAGAAAAAATGCAATTTTTTGCAGGTGATTTTAAGGGCTCTTTTCTTAACCCTAAGAGCAGCAGGAAAGCCATTAAAAAGTTTTAAGTGAGGAAATTGAATGACCCAATCAGATTTATGTTTGTATAAGACCACTCTGGCTGCATTTTGGAAAAGGCATGGCACAGAGGGCCAGAGTAGACATAGTAGATTGCTGGAGAGGCTTTGAAATCATCCAGGAGAGGGATGGTAGTAGCTTGGATGCAGTGCTGGCAGAGGAGGTAGGGAGAAGTGGATATAGATTAGATGTGGAGAGGACAGAGAGATATGTCAAGAATGACATCTCGATTCTGACTTTTCAAACTGGATGGATTGTGGTACCACTCATTAAACCAAGTTTTCAGTTCCATCAGAGAGACCCTGGTCAAAAAGGCCACTGGATACAAAGAGTGTAGCTCAGAAGAGAACACCATGCTGGAGATAGAAATTAGGGAGGGACTCATCTGATATCTGAATCTGCCTTACAGTATCTTTCAAAATGATGGAAAATTTACCACCTCAACAACCAGACATGCTTTAATTAAATAAAGATGTTTCTTATGTTGGACTAAAAGCTTTTTGAAGTAAATTCTACTCATTAGTTCTGATTCTGCCCTTTGGACAAATGGAACCTCTCTCCTACATAATAGGGATTCAGGAATTTGAAGAAAACTAGAATTAGTACATCGCCTCACCACTTTGCCATCCACCTCAGATCTTTTGTCCAACACAAAATAAATAAAGAAAGAAAGAAAATCTTTCAGATCAATTCAGCAATCTAGCCCCTGCCCATCTCTTTAACTTCATCTATTACAAACCCAAAAACACCCAAAAAAACACCCATATACCCACGCATATTACTTCCATTAAGATCTAAATATTAAGAGCTTCCTAAGCATGGTATATTTCCACGAACATTTGTGCCTTTTCTCATGCTGTCGCATAGGAATGTTTTTTTAATTCTACCACATGTAAAATTGCAGCTCTATAGCAGAGGCTAATGAGACCAACTAGCTAACTATAGGAATCTTTTCAGGAGAATAAGTCAGACAGAAAGTGGCCATTAGCTCCTATGTGTCCAGAGCTATAGGACAAATGTGGACTCACTCAGAGACAACATAATTCAAGTTGGTCCTGTTTTGCAAATGGGACACAAGAGGTGGTTTTCTAAGTTGTGAGCAGTGTTTGGAGTTAAGAGCCACCACCCTCACCTGCTTTATTGATCACAGGAGGCTAACTGCAGCCACACAGAACCCCATAGTCCTGGTCGAATCAGGAGTTTCTGGGGCAGCCTTCCATATGGCCATTCAGAAACCCAGACTCTTTTAATCTACCTGCTGCTCTGGAGGCCTTCAAGTCCTTCACTGAATCTTCTGCATCTTGTCAAGAGATGAGGGAAGAGAGAGCCTAGAGGATCATACAGGAGGTTTTAGGGACCAGGAAGTGGTTTACACTTCTCACATTCCACTTCTTAGGTTTAATTAACCGGAACTCAAACACATGGCCCATAGAACTGAAAGGAAGGTTTACAAATGTAATTTAGCTGTGTTCCCAGAAGGCAAAGGCAGCAGGGTTTGATGAGCACACCTGCCTTATCCTAGAGGTGTTACCAATTTATTCTTTCTCTCCCAAACCTTCAGTGATTCAGTATTAGCCTTTTAAGGAATTTTTTAGTGTAACCCTAGTTTAGAATAGGCTCTTAGCATTTTAAGGCTTTTTTCAATGTGACCTTAGTCTATCTTTTCAACTAAACTGGGAATTTCATTATTCCCCAAGTAAACCCTACCTTTTCACTCTTCTCTGCCTCTATTCAAGCACTTTCTTCTGCTTAGGGTACCCTACATCTCTTATTCTTGAACACTTAGTCATCCAAAGTCCATTCGAGAGGTCACTTCTTCATTCTCACTAGTCTGCCTTATGTTGTAATTACCTGTTTACTTGTACTATCACCTCCCTTCAGGCTTCCTAAGAGCAAACAATATATCTTATCTATTTTGTGTCACTGACAGCCTCTAGGAAATGCCTGAGAGTGCTCAAGCAAACACTTGTTCAATTGAGTTGAATAGTTTTGTTTATTTAAATTATTTCCTTAAGAAAATAAGATGTATTTTTAGTAGTTTCTCTTGTTTTTTTTTTGTTGTTGTTGTTTTGTTTTTTTTTAGGGAAAACGTCTGTGGTAATAGTTCTCAAATGATAGCAGGCTTGTTAAATGATAGCGAAACTTGTTAAAATTATAGATTTCTCCCCACCCCCAAGATTCTAATTCTATAGATCTGATATATCTGATATTGGACCCTAGGCTCTCTGCATTTTTAATAAGTGTTCAGGGGGAGAGGAAATTCAGATCGTATGACACCTGGACTGTATTTTCATAAATATTGCAACACAATGTCATTACACCCATTAATGAACTATTATTACCTTCCTTTAACAAAACAGATCAGTTCATTAACAGAGGAACAGGTAGTGTGCGGAACAGTAAAATTCAAGATGTTTGTCATATCGCCTTTGGATCCAAAGTTCTTGGACCACCTCCACTCTCTGGCAGAAGAAATAACATGAGGCTATCCAGTGAGGTAGGAGCAAGGTTTGAAGAGCTTATCTACACATGAGTGGCGTGGGAAGGGAAGGGTTTTTTTTCTCCCTTACTGTGAGGGGAGAAAAGAGAGAAAGAGATACATGCCAAAATCAGAAGGCTTGAATAAATTTTGAACAGAAATTTTGGATTTTAAAAGACCTCAAAATTGTTTCCTTTTTTGTCATGTCAACACAATTAACAATTCTCAATATTCTTTTCTTTAAATGTGTTTACAGAACTTAAAGGTAAATATATATGAGCACATTTTGTGGTCTTTTCAAGGAGTTAGATAATTGCCAGATACCTTACAATGAACAGGTTTTCAAATGTTATAGTTTAATTTTTAATTTCCTCTGAATTTCTGACATACACAGTGATAATTTTCAATTCAACTCCTACCTACTAATGATAGAGTGTAACAAATAAGCACATTTTAATTTATGTGTCTAGGAGACATGTCTTCTGTTTTATCTTACATTACTTTTCTCCTTTCTAATTTTCTACCATAATTTACCTCTTCACCAATTTTTTAACCTCATTTCCTCTCATTTTTTAACCCTCATTCTTTATCCAAATATTATTTTTTTCTATGTAGATTCTATAGGAAATACATGCAATTTCTTTATTTTAAAATGTGCAGAATAATTCCTTTTTCTTATAGACAATGAGATCCATTGGGTCCAAAAATAACCGATCGTGCCAGCTGTCCACAGGAGAGAAGTGTGTTAACAGTGTGGAAATGTCAACCTTGCTGATATCTGAGACTGAGGAGCAAAGAGATAAAGAAAATATTTGCCAAACAAAGCAGACTGTACCTATTCATGGTAAGAAAGAATTATGCATAATGAATGATGGCTAATGAAAATAGCGACAGTGTTCTTGTTAAGATAAATCTGAAGTTATATTCGTGACTAGATCTTAAGTCCAAAGGATTACTTAAAAATGAAAAGTGTGGTACATATTGAAATGTGTTTAGAATTCATATGTATATACACACTTACATAATCTTCTGGAATCTATCATCCTATTCTGTTATTTCAAATTCCTTTAGTGCCCTTTGTTTTTACTTTATGATGACTGGTGAGGAAATAATATAGCATCCTCTTACCACTATATTTTAGAAACTCTGTCTACATTTTAAGTTTTCTTAACTTAATTTTATCTTATAATTAATCTTTCCCATTTGTAAAGTGCTCTTTGTTTTCTCTCACCTGTTGGTGAAGAAAAGACTTTGTCCCATTTTATAGATTGAGAGTTCAAGGTTAACAGAGAGATAAAGTGGTTTGTTTTCTGTAATCATTGGAGAGAATCAAGACTAGAGAACCCAGGGCTTGCCACTCTCTTTCGGTTTTTCCATTCTTACCTGTCTGGCTTTCCTGAGAGTTGAAATGGGGCAGGCATTTGGGTTCATGTTTTTTGATTTAGAAATTCATGAGCACTACTACACTTTACATCTTCCATGGAGTATAAAACTGAGATAAAGAAATGAATAACACAGATACTCAGTACCGGCCTAACCACTATCTGTGAGACTTAGATCAAGTTTCTTAACCCCTATAAGTCTCAGTTTCCTCATCTAAAATGGGGACACAGTTACTACTGGCACTAGTAGTAGTGATACATAACAGCTGCTTCAAAGGTCATTATGAAGATTCAGTGAGAAAAAATTAGCCAAGTACATCATATTGTGCCAAAAAATTAGGCATTCAGTAAATATTAAGTACTACTATGCATATTATTAGTATTATGGTATTAAATTATACGTAAGAATTCTTCAGGTTTGATATTAGTTGTCCAGGGTTCTTTTGGAAACTACCCTCTAAGTTCTTGTTGCATCATACTTAACTATGCTTCCTCTTTTTAAGAAAGAAAGAAATTTTCTGGATTGGCTGTCAGTTTCATTTTTTATATTTTTAATATAGCATGTTGCACGATTAACATTAATCAAATTACTTGTAGCTCTCTATAAGGTTATATTACGTGAATAAAATGTATTAGTAATTTTGAAAGCCGTAATATTGGAAAACCTTAATATTGGAATAGGAATAAATACCTGTTTTCTGTAAAGGAATAAGTTTTTGATATAACTTTACATAATGTCAAAGTGATACATGAGCATTCTCATTATAGCTATAATTATGCTTACTGAATTATTTCAAACCATATAGTACTTTCTGTTCTGACTTTCTGTTCTTTGATACGAAAATGTACCAGCCAATCTGCATATTATGCATCCGCATCCCCCTCAAGAACCATCAGCAGATAAGAATAATAACAGGAGAAGATTACGGTTAAAAAGCACCAGCAGAGAAAGGACAGAGACACTCAGCGGTATGGCACTGATTAAATACTATCTTTATATTATCTGTATATTACTCAGAGCAATGAGATCTCTCTCTGCAGGTTGTAAATTTCAAAGGATTATGAACCAATTCATTTAAAATATAAATGTCTGTTCTATAGGGATTATGGAAATCAAATTTTCTGCAAAAGAATTGCTCTAAAACCTTAACAGAGATTTGCTGGATTAAATAGACAGCACCACAGAAATAAAGGACTCCCAACTTCTACTTTCAAAGGCTGAATAAGTTTAAATTATTGTTTTTAAAAAATGGCCCTAAATTTGATAGAGGAAGTTCCTGCCTGCAGACTTTATTAAAATTGAACTTAACTCATAATTTTTTATGTTTCATTTATATTTCTTCCTTTTAAATTAGGCTCTTTCAGATTGGTTTTATGTTTGCTGTCTCTCCCTTTGGACTTCTTCCCATCTGATATAATGTAGGATATAATTTCAACCATTTGCAACCAGAAAAACATTAGACAAATATAGGTGACTATTAAGTTATTCTTTTAAGTAATGGATTTCAGGCATCTATGTGTAGGTTTGTATACACATGCATTAGTATTTCCCTAATCAAGCCTAGAATGTACCATGTACATATATGTTCACGAAATTTCTCAAAAATGTAGGATTCGTGGGTAAGCCAAAATTCAGCTTGCTAGATTTCATGTTATTTTTATAAAGTAGTAGGTAGAAAATTAATTGTGCAGTAATGCCTGTGCCCATTTCCTTAAGGCACTGCAGGAACAAACTTGGTTTAAAAGAGTTAAATTCAGTAAGAATTGTTATTTAAAGAAAACATACTTCATTTTACATGGAACCAAAGAAAAAAGTATAAGACTCTTTAAAAATTATATGGGTTTTGGAATTCTTTTTATTGCATATTTTAAAACTTAAATCTAAAATGTCCTCATGCAGATATCCAGGAATTTTAAGATGAACGTCCACAAAAATGCAGCTGACTTTCTCTGAAAACATTCTGCTGGGGGAAAAAAAAAGCCTGTATATAATCTATAGCGTCACCTCTAACTCGCTTTACAATACTATAGAAAAGTATACCAAATTAATACCATTCTTCGAAAATCAATTTTTATATTTAAAAAATATAGTGGAAAATATTTATTCTAATTAAGGCAGTTCTTCAGGAAATAACAGGAATGAAGATAAAGCAACAAGTGCCCTCACCACTGTGTCCCATCAAAGAACAGAGACATCGAACCCCAGCATTCCAGAACCCCAGTCTTCTGATCAAGCAGGTTTGCATCTTTCCATAATTGTTAATAATAAGATATAAATATGTTAAATATTTCAAACCGATTCATTTTGAAAAGTCATGATGCAGTCATCTGCTAAAATCTATCATTTTTTGTAAATCTCCTTCTAACCTCAATTTTATGTCAAACTTTAGTGGATGAAAGAGAATTTTTATTTTCAAGGTTTAATGCATCAGTTTTCTGTTAGAATGAAAATTTAAAATTTTAAAATTTTCACATGACATTGTCGCCCCTCCCCAGAAATTATCTATTGTTGCATTTCTCCAGTCCTCTTTAAAATGGAGAAGGTTGGATTATAGAGCATTGAGTCCATCAACATATCTTGCCTAGCAGGTGCATAATACTTTTACAAAAGCAAATTATTTTTGAGCAAGGAAAAAAGAAAAATAAATTAAAATTGTTTGTAATTTGTCAGTCTTATTTATGCAATGCTGAAACCTTCATTAAAATGTTAGGCACAATTAGTGTCTCTAGCATAAATCTGACTGTGTAGAAAAACTAATTAGATGTTTAGGTGATCATTCTTGCATTTATCTTGTTTGCTGCAATATTGTGATTACACAGTAATTTACATATTTTCTTTAGAAAACACACCAAATTATTCATTACAATTGATATGGAAATATTTGAAGTAAAACTACAAATTCCAAAAAAGCATGTGGTAGTGAGATAATTAGAGTTCGTTTGGAGTAAAATCACTCCTTTTACTTTAACTTATTGACAGTTAATATGTTTGGCAATAGGTCATATGAGTTTAATTACATAATGAAAATTTCCATATCTTTTCCTTCAATTTTTTTTTTTACATATCCATGAACATAATGCAACACATTGGTTTCAAAATCTTTCCAACCTCTTTTAAAGCACCTACTTTGTTTGCAAAGCACCTGCTATGTGTTTTAGCACCACACAAAAGGGTTTGTTATCCAAAAGAGGACAGTTCAGTGAAATCTATTTATTTCACCTGCTCACAGCTACATTGACTTAGGATCCTCCCCATCCCCTATGCAGGTGGTTAGATGAAGTAGATTCAGCCTGCCATTGGCCATTTATCTACAGACTCTGTCTATGAAAATATGCAAGCCTTGTCCCTAATCGATTTTGTCTAAGAAATGTACATTTATTGCCCTTTTATAGGCAAGTTATGCTACATAATGATAGTCTTAGTTTAAGAAACAGATGAATACAGTTGTGATGAACACAATTTTATTTGTGCATCAGTGTTATTCGTTGTTTATGCTTTCATAGTATAGGCTGTAGAGTTTCAAGTTGTCAGATCTTATATATCTCTTGAATACTTTTCTTGTAATAATAATAATAGTATTCAAGAGTCCAGGGTAGAATTACCAGGGCCACATTGTGGTTCTACAGAACACAGATTCTTATAAGATTTTTCACCAGTGATATAATGCAGCAAAAAGTAAGTTTCAGGAGAAATAGACTAAATTGAGAAAATGTTCAACTTTTTTCTGCTGTCATTATAAAGAAAGTAAGCATGCTTTTAATAATATTATACAGATTTGTCATTTCCAATTTACCTGGATCGTAGTTATAAAATCTACCTCAATGTTGAAAGGATTATAATTTTTTAAGTTTTTATAAAAATGTATCTCAGTGGTCGTATACAGTATTTTTAAAGAAAATGATGCTATGCAAAAAAAAAAATTCATATCAAAACATGCTCTACTAATATTAAACATAAAGATCTTTTTCACAGCAGAATTCACCAGTCACATTAACAAATATTTCTGTGGATTTACTACTGAAAAGTCTACTCAATTTAGTCTGTGACTTATCTTGTTCGAATCAGTAGAATGAACAAAAAAAGACTGTCAACCTTTTCATGGTTTCCTCTCCTCTGTGATTTATAATCCAAACAATGCCCGGATACGTTGTTTAAAGAAGCTTATTTGTTAAGTACTCTGTCCTCCTACAGTTAAAAGAAGATGTTAGTAAGTCAAACCCTTTCAAATTTGGAAGATTTTCTCCCTATGGAATGTCAGATTAATGAGACTGTACTGTAAAGAACTTGCTGCAAGACAGGTGATAATTATTGCAGACTTATAAATTTCCTGGTCAGTGTTTCAACTCAGATGGTGAGCAAGTGCACGTGAGTTGCCCATAGTTATAGGCACTGATCTATGGATCACATGTTTGGCAGATTACAAGATGGTGGATAAATTGGCTTCCTTGGCTTCTGCATTATTTAATACATCTCTGTTTCAACAAGAAGAAATAAGACTACCTGCCTAAAATAATACTTATGGAATTATTACATATTGTCCTCTAATTTTTGTCCTCTTTTCCAAATGTCAGATGAATGGATATTTCCCCATTCAGTGGCCAGCAGACAGTCTCTACTTCTGGATGATGACTCCTGCCACACTTCACACCTGTGGCTAGAAGCCAGCAAGGAAAGTGAACATGACCAGCAGGCAGAGGAAACTCAGATTGTTCCAAAGGATATTTTCACTTTTTCATCAAGACCACGATCAGCACCCCATGGAAAGACTCAGACTATGTCCCCAGAGGGGTGCCCATTTACTTCAGATCTAAAAGAGGATACCAGTGTGACCCAATTGGAGGATGATTTTTATGGCGGTGACAGCAGCGAAGAGGTACACTGCTTGATAAGTGAAATAGTTTTAAAGCACAGTTGTTCCATTAGCTCTAATAAGCACTAAAAGTAGTTGAAATGAAAGAGGGGAAATCAACTGCTATTGGAAATCAACTGCTATTAATAAAAACGCAGCAGATTGCAATGTCAGTCAACAGTTGCCTCAGGTTGTTATGGTAACTCTAAATTGCTGCCTTCTTTTTATTAACTGTCAGCCGATTTCATTTTTAATTATAGAAACCAGTTTTTGGTTTGTTTTTGTCTTTTCATTTTAATCTTTGTCTCATAGAATGAGAAATAATATGCAGTTTAGTTTTATGATAGCAAAACCAGTAAAACATCAGGAAGACATTGTTCTAGATCTCTGGGGAAATGGTGTTGCAGTTGCTAAGCATTCTGAGTTGACGGTTTTCTGGCGTCCTTAGTGCCCTGCCATCTTTTCACCTTAGATCTATTAGGACTCATTATTTTCCATATGGTCCCAGAATTTTAAGAGTTATGCCAATTAAAGTTTAGATAATGAATCATGGATTAGTTCTAGGACTTGCCTTACAAGAAATTTTTTGTTTATAATTATTTAGAATATAAATATATCTTATAAATTAAAATCATAAAAAGTAAGATCATAATATGTTTTTAAAACTTATTAAAAATCAAATTGAATATAGTTCCGAAGCATTTATTTAATACTTAATGCATTATGATAATTCTTCCCTGTATGAAATGAAATTATTTGTGAAATTTCTTTAGCTTTATTCCTTAATGATAAGCATTAACATTTTCTAGAAAAAGGAATTTTGAAAGCAGATTAAAGTCAAGTTATGGTTTAATAAAATTATACAAGTCATTTCTTTGTAGAAATTATAGAAATAATTAGAAAAATTTGTTGTGCATGCTTACACAACTTTGACTTAATAGTAATAAGTGATCAAGAATCTCCCTTTGGACAGTGGGATATAGATTAAACCCATAGCTCCTACCTTCAGAGCCAATCGCGAATATGATGAGATTGTTCAAGCAGTGATTATGGGTTTTTGCAACTTTTAATAAGTTTCTGTAGCAAAGTGCATGAGGAGATCCTTTTTTTCATAATATCCTTGCTTCTGAGTGTGATGAAACTATTAGTCTTAACAAACATAAACCTACTAAAAACGCTTTTGCACATAAATAGTCCATTTGATGCCAGCATTTTAAATATTGCTGTGGACATCTTTGTCTTTTGCCTTGACTAACCTCAAGCTATGAAACTATAAAATGGACATTTGTCTTCAGTATCTAGTATTGTTCCCACCCCAGCTGTCAATTTCTCTACAATATTAATTGGCTAATATGATAAATTAATTCATACCATTTCATTAATGGGAGAGTCCCATTCTCTTCCCCTCTGCACAGCACCATTGTTCTTACCTAACTGAAAAGAATTACTATGATGGTAGAAATGGTAGTTCTCTGGAAAACTTTGAGGGAAGTACTATGGGGAAACCACCTTTCAAATAACATCATGTGAGGAATTTACCACTTCCATCCATACAAAGGATAAGCCTTGAAAAGAAACAATAGAGTTTCATAGGGAAATGGAGAATACTAGTTCTGAATATTTTAAATTGTCATTACTTTATGAGCTTTCTTTTGCTACTAGCTACTCTGCTTGTGACATCCTTCAACATTTATTTTGCAGGCATATACTTATTACCAACTACATAAAATTTACAATGAATTCATCATGCATTACCCAAGCTCTAACTGGCATAGCTATCTGGTCACTCCTGTGCCATGACCATCAGAATGACCAGTAGCATATGGCTAGAGTCTGCAGTGGGATCATCTCATTGCTAACACCTGCCCTGGCCTACTTTTATTTAGAGCCCACTAAGAATGGCAGCCAAAGAGTGTGACAGAAGCCTCACCATATTATGCAGCTTTGGAGTTTGCTGTTAGAGGCAATAACAAGATACAAATAAAATGCAAAAATATGACCAACAAAAATGCTGGGCTGTATTTAAACAAGCCCTAGAATTTATAACGTTCACTTCTTTATCAAATTGGTGTGTTTGGGGATTTTTTTGTAAATTTTTTTCCTATAGGATTACTTCTCCTGTTTATTAATTATATAAGTCAATGGGAAATTGGATTACAAATTTAAATAAAATGTTTATTCACATATAGTCTTTGAAGGAAAACAAGTTAGTTAAAGCATCCTTACTATTCGTTACATTATTTTAGAATGTTATATCCTTAGAGCAACATAATTATCCTTAAGGAAAACATAATGTTATGTTATAAATAATGGTGCACGAATGAATGATAATTTCATGACTTATACTTGAAGTTTATAACTTGTAGTTAAAAGACTTTATTTGATGTTAGACCATTGAGTATTTTTAAAGGGAAATTAGATGTATTCAGTAGCATATAAACTAGGAAAAATTAAAACATGTTATCATGATAGAGGAAAAGCACACTTAATAGTAAAGGCTCATTAAAATAAGCTTTAAGTGATATATTGTCTTTGTCATATAAGTTGCTAATAATTAATTCACATCTGAGATCTTCATTAGTGTGAGAGCCTCAAAAGTATAAAATTTTTTTGTATGTGCTCTTGACTTAGTCTTTGCTTTGCTATGTATTTTATTCCTTAGGCAGTCGTATACACTAGTATGCCTGATAATTAATTTTGAAGTTGTACATCTTATTTAGAAAGCACAATATGCAAATATATTTTGTGGAGAGCTATAAAATCAAGACTGCCATGTAAAATGCATTATCTTAGGAAAGCTATCGAAACAGTGCATTTCACACTGTTGCAGCATCTGAAAGAAAAAAAAAAAAAGCATGATACTGTATGGTTTCTGTTTCATATCTTATGCCATTATATTTAATGTGGCTTCTAGTATATACATCTGGTTTGCAACTTGAAATAGTTAGCTTTATATTAATATTTTATTACTCCTCTAATTTAATTTTCATTTAGAAATACTGTAATTTTTTTTCCCCCAAGCTCTGGCTGTGTATCATATACTGAAGCAGGTATTTGCAAGGACAGGTTATTTGTCTCGTATAACAGTCCAAATTGGAACATTTGAGCCAAACGTTATCCATATTTGGATATGAATAATGTGAATTGACTACCTATAATTTTGAAATTAGCTAGGAAGCTTCCAGATCTTCTCTCCATCTAACTCTTTGGAGGCTTATAATTACAAAATTACAAACAACCGATTAAAAGGACCGTTTTAATCATTCCTCTCAGCTTTTCTGGGTATTGTTGCTTTCAAGATATCAGTAGTTAAGTTATTTCATTTTTTTCTTCCTGATAGCATATATTTCTGGGTTATACTATAAACCATTCACCCCTACATATTTAACTAATGATTTTGTTTTACTTTCTCACACACACATACATACAATAGAAAAGATATTTACATGAAGCTGCTTATATTTCTATGTAGCCTTTAAAAAAACTTTTAAATGTCAATTTATGTGTTGGAAAAAATATAGAAGGACTTTATTTTTAATATCTTGCCTCGCGTTTTTATTCTTGTGTATTATGAATTACAACATAACATACTATCTAAACCTGCCAGACATATTTAATATTATTCTGTGCGAGTAATTCTTTTAGGCTGTTCACATCTATGTGTCTTTATTGTTATCTTTTAAAGCTCTGTTCTTCTCTGAAAAACTCAGACCCCTTGGTTCCTGTGACTTGGCTCTTCATTGTTATATAGGTAGATAAAGACAATTCTGAAATTCTGACTGCTTAGAATAATATTCTACAACTTTTGCTAAAAGAGAAACATCTTGCAGATAAATATTTTATGTCGATAGGAGTTTTCACAAGAGATCTTTAAAGTGTTATCAGTTAAAATAGCATGAAGCCTACCTTATAGAAAAATACATTTTTGTCTTGAACAATTAAAGAAGCCTCATCGTTTTTTCCAAATATTTATGTGATGATGTTTGCCCATCCCATACAGTACCTAAAATGTAACATCATTGGCTACAGGTAAAGATGTTTATAAAAATAATTTCCCGACACCTTTTAATATCAAGCATGCTGCAGGTTAGTTGCTTGTTAAAAAGTCACATCTTCCTTTCATTTTATTTGTTTATAAACTAATAAAATGCATTATAAGACACCACTATCAATTATCTTTGTGACCCGGAGAAAACTATATTACTTTAATAGTTTCCTATAAGATTCAAGAGGTAGAGAAGTAGAAATACTTCTTGGATGGTTGTTCGTGAAGACATTTAAGATACATTTGGATGGTCAATCTTGTTATCATCAAAGAAAAAATGATTTTTTCATTCTATTATAACTAATATCTTTAGCTATATTTGTGCAAATAACTGTGCTCTTTAGTTGACATTAGAAATACATACCTATATCATCCTCTGTTGCCTGCTACTCCAACTAAAAGGTGCTGTCAGTTCACACATTTAGTTACTAAAACATTGGATAAAAGTAAAAACCCCTGCTGACTGAATCTCAATTACAAATTCAAAACTGCCATCAAAGTGTGTTTGGAATATTGCAGATGTGTTTTGTTACAGAAGTTTTAAGAATGTTATATGAGACATTATTCACAGTGGACTGAATTTAAAAAGCAATTGAAATATAAATAAATATGATCATCCACTTTTACAAAGGCTAAAACAGGATTCTATCCTGACTCACTCAGCATTAAAGTTGTAATAAAAAGAGCCTGGGTCCCATCTGCTCCAAGTAGATGACCCTCAAGAGTCATTAAAATTATCTTTTTAAAATTACAGCTCAGCAAGAGCAATCCATTTTGTGCATCGAGAACTTATTGTCCAAATGCCCATCTGCATGTCCTTTTAAGAAATGTAGTTCAACAGAGGAAGTGCTGGCTCCTTGGGGAAATCATTCTCATCTTCAGCGTGCATATGCTGTGCTACAGTTAATCAGGCAAATTCTATTGATGCTCCTGGCACTGGGGTGTGATTGAATATTTAACAAACAAATGTTTCTGAGCCCAGAAGACAAACAGTTCAAGAGATTTGGGACTTTTTAAAAAAAATATATTAAGTTAAATCAAAAGCGTTTTGTATTTGTTCTTCTGAAAACCAGATGAACAGATAATTGGAATGTAAAAATGGCTTGACAATTTCTTTACTACTCTGACAAATTATATGCAATTGCTATACAGGTTTTCAGTAGCTAAATCACAAACCAAAGGGGAAAAAGTGGTCGTTTTTCAATCAGATCATAGAAAGCTAACTTCTTATGCATATAACAAATGTATGTTATATTGCAAAAATTAAACCAAAAACATGTTAAGCTCAAATAAGTTACATAGGTGAGGTCAGTAAACATTATCTATACCCATATCATCTATTTTAGTAGGGAAAAAGCATTACTAAAGAAAGGAATTGGGTTTGCCAGTGCACCACTCCTAGTAAATACTATATGATTTTTTTATTCTCCATTTATTTCCTCTCTAAAAGAGAGACTGACCCAAGTTAAATCAAAATATTAGTCTCATATGTCATCCTTCCTTTCTCATTTATTCTAATTCTCCTTTCAGAATTTGGAATAAACCAGATTTAGTGTTCTGAGGCAACCAAAGTAAGCAAGCCTTTTGTACTTTATCCAGATTCTCCAGTTATTTGTGTTTTCCATATATTCAAAATAGCATGGAAACATATTCCCGTGGTAATGCAATACAACCGAGAGAATGCTCATCAGGGAACACAGCTAAGTCTGTCCACTTCTTGGCCCATCTTCACTTCTTGGCCCATCACATTAGAAAAAATGTGAGATGAATGTCCATATACATACTAATGAATATTTCTATGTATGTAATCACTGCTCATACCGAGCAAAAAGAAATATTTTACACCTAAGTAAACTACTGGAAGGAAGAAAAGGCTATGCTCTACCTCACCACAGGTGGAAAAATTGACTTCCTATCAAACAAATTGATTTTTTAAAGTGTTTTTTAAATGATGTAGCAAACATCTGGTTTTCCATGCATTCCTCTAAATTCTAATAACAGAACATCTGAAGCTCTTAAAATGACATTTACTACCTTCTACCTTATGAAATTATTACCTTCGTAGGTATCTATCTCCCTGTTATTAGACTCTGTACTTCTTGAGGGTTGGTGTCCATGTTATTCTTATCTGTGTATCTTAAGTAGTGCCTAGAAGATGCTTTACACATAGCAGAAGCTTAATAAATATTTATTGAACTAATGTTTATCACAAAAGATTTTAATTTCTGTCTATGTCATATACAAAATGTAATCCCAGAATGATCCATAGATTTGGACCCAAAGAGTCATACTTTTTCTACTTAACCAGCCTATATTTAGAGCCAATCTGTTTTAAATCCACAGTATATGTCTTTATTTTTTATTATGAAAATATGATGGAAATGAATAAGTAGAGAGTCTTTTGGTCTCAGAAATTCTACTGCCAATTAGTAAATTAAACTTGAATTAAAAAAAAAAAAAATGTTGGCAAATACAGAGCACTGTGTAGCAGCCAGATTCAAATAAAAAAAAAAATCAATCCTAGTTCCACTAGTTCCACCAGTACCTTCCTAGAACTAAGGCTTGGAGAATGTTTATATTTGCTGTTTACCTTCTCTAAACAAGACTAAACTTTTCTTCTTTTTTTATCTCTATGAAACAAAAATAGAAAGTGTCACCACTCCATTCCCTTGTAGTTTAGAACACCAGGCATTTTTTTAGATCTCTGGATCTCTTTCTAGCCTTCTGCCTGGAGGCAAGATTTTTCAACCACATGAATATCCTCTGGGTTCCCAGAATGGTATTAAGGGACAGGCTCACTCAGAAAGTGGTGTATAGCAGAGAGCGTTGCCCAATGCCCAGTACTGTTGAAAGTGCAGAAATATCCTCACTTATCTTATGTTTTCACTTTAGACATAAAATAAGGGCCGATGGATTGATACCCACTCACCATCTTTTCTTTACCCTATCTGGGACTCTGAAAAATAAGTTTCACTATCATTTATAAAGAAATGTATGATCAGAAGATCAAGCCAGCATAGACAAAGAAAATTTAGGCCCAGAATGAGTACCAAAAAAAAATGTTGATAAAAGATCCTTAGACACTCTGCAGGTTTCATTCTTTTCTACAGGTAGGCAAGCTATTTTCTAGGAGAGGTTCTAAGACCTGAGTGTACCTTTCTTGATAGCCCTGTTGTCTGCTAATCCTACCTACTTCCTATAAGAAGGGAAAATTATAACATGACAGGATCAGGGATCTCAGACTCCACGTAAGAGCTTTCCAGAGTCATTAAGTACAACATACTCTGCCTCCTACAGAACTCTCAAGTCAGCCCGGCCTCTCCATCATCACCACCATTGCTTTAACACAGCCACCTCACTATTTCTAATCATAGTAACTTAATCATCTCCTAATTGGCCTCCTTTTCTACTATCTCCATAGATACTCTAGACACTCCAGAAACAATAGTAACACAATCCCAAGTCTTCTATTTTATGCCATTGTGGCATTTCCCTATATCAAATTACTCTATGCCTCTTCATTGCCTTTGGGGAAAAGTCCCTGGATGGCTGGGATTACGTGCTGGTCTCCCATTATATTCCATCTGCAGTGCCCGGAGCAATACTTAGCTCATAATGAAGAAAGAAGAAAGAAAGAAAGAAAGAAAGAAAGAAAGAAAGAAAGAAAGAGAGAAAG